CCCCAAAACCCCAAAACCCCAAAACCCCAAAACCCCTTTTATGGAAATTTATTGAAAACCAAGCCTTTTTAATGAAATGCTTCATGCTTTATAAGACAAATCCTTTGTTGTCCACCCACTTCTCTCTCTTAACTTCTCTAAACTTATGTAAGATAGGAGGGTTGCTAGGAGCCTTGCTGACATAATTAGGGATGAAATTGGCACTTTCTCTAGACGACTTCTTCCCAAATCATGTCACAAAGTCTCTCTCAGAGATCCAATTCTTAGTTCGCTCTGCTTTAGTAGCTAAAAATAAAAGTCTGAATTACCTTTACCAGCCAGGTAGGGACCAGAAGCCAGTACAGAGGGTTTGCTAAGGTCATATTTGGGCATTTTCTCAAATTGTTTCCACCTCGAATAATACCTTCTGTAAATATCTGACTGCATCTTGATGGTCTTCCCTTTGGATCCTTTAGACATAGGACTCTTGCTGCTTGACCCTTTGAGGTATTTCCTAGCCCTAATTGCATCAGTTTTAAGCTTCTCTGATGGAATCGTCTTGATCCTGAAGAAAGTTATCCCATTCTCTTCCTCTTCATTGACTCAAGTGGTATTTTTCAGATTTTCAGACTGAAGCCTACTGTAGTTTAAACTTGGGTTAGGAGTTTCTTTATGTGCAGGAAGTTTTGGAGTGGTCTTGAATCTAGGATTATCGAATATCTCATTATTCCTAGAAGTCCCTTTCCTCTGGCTTGATAACCGAGCTGAATGGTCTTTGTAGATTTTCAGTTTAGTGTTATTGGTGAGCTTTGAATCATCAGGATCAAGGATCTGATTTTCACTGGTCTTTGTGTAAAATCTAAGCCTGACATTAGTATTTCGACTTCACCCTTTAGGGAGACCAGCTGATTTTAATTTATCTCTTCCACTGACATATAATTTATTAGTGGGAAGGACTTTGCCTTTCCTCCCCGAAGGCTTGTTCTCAACCGTTATATCTCAATATGTGCTCAATTCATTATCGGATCTTGATCAGTCTAAGTTTTTGTTCTTAAAGGCAATAACTGATTTATAATTAACCAGCCCTTCCGTTTTTAGAGCTAGGCTGCTCTTAGTAATTTTAGACTCCCGGGAATACAGGGCATCTCTACAGCCATTCTTGTACATACTTTGTACTACAAATGCCTTGGACCCTTTTGAAGAACCCTGCCTTGTGTTTATCGACTTGCCAACTATGGGTATCTTGTTAATGGAGTTTCATCGAGCGAGGATGGAGTTCTGGAGGCAGAGGACAGATCCTGACTTTGGCATACTAAAAGGTTTGTAGTTTACTTACCTCTTCTCCATTCTACTAATTCCGCCATCAGCTACGAGTCTCCTTTCATGGCAAATTTTCTTAACGGCTAGAGCCAAATTTGAGATTTTGTCTATAGATTTTAGTTTTTGAAATTTCTTTACGAATAAGTTGAATTTTAGAAATTTCAAAAGATCTTACTAGGATCAAAGGATGCAGATGGAGATTTTTGATCAACACAGAAATTGTAGATTCGGTTAGTATGATGCATAACAAAATTATTCATCAAACTCATTCAGCTCTGATCACCTCCGTTGCTCACTTCAAACTGGACGACCACTGCTTGGTCATGAGTCACGACCAAAGGACCTCTGCTTGACTCTGCCAAGGTAGTATAACTGAACGGGCTGGGGTGAGGATCGAATGTGTTTGAACAAGTCACCAAGAATTGCAGAGGCAGCGACTGCAGCAAGTAGTGACCCAAGTACTTTGGAAGCAAAGTTCACTGAGTGTCAGTCAGTTTTGAAGTTATTATTGAGTCTGTTAGTTTAAACTTCTTAGACTTTGTGAGGTGATTTTTGGTGGTTTTGTGGTAGTTATGAAGCCCAAAGTTCCCCATTGGGATCCATTCTTCATATTCTGGACAGTAATTATAGAGCTTACCTTGGGTTTTATTGGTAGAGGAAATTTGGCCGGGGGAAGAATCGAGATTTGGGGATTTGTAGCAGTAATAATCTCCATTAGAGTCATCTAAAAATACGAAATTATCCTCAAAGGGGAAAAGCAGTTTGTGCAATTTTGCTTTTGAGTCTTTCTTGACAATAGATCCAACTGTTTCACATTTCTCTTTTTCTTGGATTTTGTTACGAGCGATCTTGTTGTATTTAGAGATTTCAGAAAGACTCGACCCCTTCTCACCACCATTTATTACTTCTCACTGAAGCATATCTGTGGCTCAGTAATAAGCAAGGAATTGCATAGAACCACCAGTTCCAAAAAGAGGCTTATTAGATTTATTTAGCTATCGAGAACAGTTTGGCAATCTAAATCTCATTAGTTAAAAAAATACCTTTCTTGCTTTATTTAGTCCATGGGAGGAGATTTCCTTCAATCGCGAAGAAGAACATATCAATCTTATTGACCAAGTGAGGATTCAGAATATAAGAGTCAATATTATGCTTATCAACTGCACTACCCTGAAAGTTTGTAAAAGTATTTTGTCAAAGGATTATCTCAAAATCAGAATCTATCTGTTGAATCTTAGAATGTTTTTCGAAGGCCTATAACTATCAAGCCCATATAATCCCACCTGCTTAAGAACTTTTAAGAATGCTGCAAACCTGGTTCGGCCTTTGCGACCACTCATCATAGCATCAACGAGGAGAACTTTCATGAATAAATTCTTGGTAAAATATTTTCAAATAAATTATTTATAAAAGGGGTTTTGGGGTTTTGGGGTTTTGGGGTTTTGGGG